GTGCTTTGAGTCCAAGTTTGGTTGCCCTACTGGTTGATGTAATTTTCCCAGGTGCCTTGCAGTGAGTTTCTGTAGAAGGCTAATCCTACCTTTGTTATAGACTAGCCGAGGCTTTAATGGCTCATTGACAAAGGTGGGGGTTATTAAGAGTGAGTCTGTTTCCTGCCTAAAAGCATGTTTCTCCATTTCTTATCCAGGGAAATATAATATTCTGCCTTTTCAATATTTCCCAGGATATTTTCATTTTTCTAAGAGAGGGGTGGGTTTTAACTCCCTACAGTGGCATATCATCACTGGGCATCGAACACTACTTGTAGGAGACTTCCTTATGCTTCTAATGGTGGTGGTGGGAATTATAAGGGATAAAAACATGCCTAGATTTTGTGAGGATTCTGTAGCTGTGATTGCCTAGACCTGAAACCTGTGCACTTCTGCACCTGCTTAGCGGAATCACCTTCATTAATCCATCAGGTTCCTCAACTGAAGGCTGTATTTTAAAGGCTTTGGGGGCAACCACAAATTAGCAGGATCTGAAATAGATCAATTTATTCCCTTGGTTCTCCTCAACTATCTGCATTGTTCTTCACGTCTTGCTTTTCTTCAAGATTCTTACACAGCCCCAAACCCACCTTTGCTTCCTCACTGGAAAGTTTACCATCATCCCAGCTGTTTCCCCAAAGCCAACTGGCCTCTGCTCCTTGACTAGCAGCTCTTCCAAGACTGGAATTCAGATTCCCGTTATCCCACATTGCCACCCAGTGGCCAGAGCTGTCTGTGCACCAACCTCACTTCCAAAAGAGGCTGCTGGCATAACATGTTGCAGAAATAGTGCCAAATAAAGGAGTAGGTTAAATTTTAAAATATAGCTCGCCTACTGACAGGCATTTGAGAGGAGTGGGCGGCTGAATCTTTTTAAAGGTATTGTTTGCCAAGGGTCTTTATGAACCATTTATAGCAATGCAGTTTCTTTCTCAAATCCAGCCTGGGCATTAGCAATGCAAATGAAGTATCTCAGGGAATTATTTCTCTGCTATATTAAATGCCAGATTTGCCCAGAAGAGACATACAAGCAATTAACAAGACTGCTTAAGGTGTGGATTTGGAAGAATCCTACTTTTGTGCATAAACTTACAAACAACTGAGGGTATAAAGATCACAGGATACTATCATCTATTTTGTTTCTGAGAAGAATCTTTGAGATATGTTTCAGTAAAAATGGTGGTTTTTCATGGAAGTAACATCCTTTGGGATTATTTCTAGACCACTGTAATGACAGATATGGAGTGACTTGGGGGTTCCCAACTGTGGGTCAGGACTGCAGTGTGTAGAAGAGAGAGTTGTAAGCCATATAGAGAGGATCACAGTTTTCTGAAACCTGGCCAGGTTTGTTCAGGTACAGTGGAAGTCAACATTTTATTCTCAGTTTTGCTTGATTTGTCCGCACAAATCCAAAGTACACAGTTGCAAAGTTTGAAAACCTTTGCTACGTATAATGTAATTATTAAAAGTAAGTGGTACCGTTATTTCTTGCCCAACTCTAACCCAATAGAATCATTTGTTTAATTTGTGATGTGGATTTGTGTGTTTGCACATGTGTATCATTTTATGAGTTCACAACACCACAAAGCTTAGGAACCTTGAGGTGATTTCAGATATTTAGGAAAGACCATACATGACTATCAGTTATTTAGAGGTTCCTTGTTTTTAAAAGACATATTTATTTTAACTGATGGGCAAGATATCTTTAAGGGATAGCTAAAGTTATACAGATGTATATCTTAATTTGGACATAGACTAAAAAGTGCCATAGTAGAAAAGGAGCATCTTCAGCAGCCCATTTCTGCTTTTTTAGTACCTTAATACATTGTTAATTTATTTCCTTTGTAAAATTTGGGTGCAAGGTTAATCGTTGTCATGAAAGCATCTGTATTTTTCATGGTCAGGCCTGTCCATAGCATGTCCAGAGGTTTTATGAGGCATGCAGAATGCGGGGAATTCTGAAACAAAATCTGTGCACATATGATGCTTTGAGAAGGAAGCACCAAGACCATCCTAAGAAATGCAAAAGTGATATAATATAAGACAGCCCAGGTGACATGTCTGCTTTATATTCCCAAATTTCAAGGACTCTGCTGCATCTTTCACTAGAAAGGAGAGGAAGACAGGTAATTATCCAATTATGCTAAGGGCTTTGTTAAAAACCCTCTTTGAAGGCTTCTTCCCACTGTTGCTTTGTGGCAAGGAAATGTACTTCTCCCTTAAGTTCATTTATTGGAATAAAACACCTCTTTATACTTCAAGAAGTATAAAATTATATAGTGTAATATTCTAGCTCCCTTACAGAACAGATTTATCAGTGAACTTTATTTTTGAAGGAGTGACTTAGAGACACATCTGGATGCTCAAATTATGCAACAGGGGACACAGATCTGAAAGAAACTCTGCAGATTCAAACTCGACAGAAGCAGAAACACAAGTTGTCCTGGGGTTGTGTGCTAAAGCAAAGGTAAAAATGACAGAGTGTGCATTCTCATGACATAATCATAAAGTAAATGTGAACATGAAACATGAAGAAGATCCAGGGAAGTTTACAAAGTTTCCTAGTGCTTGCAATTTTTTTTTAAAGAGCAACCAAAACATCCATGGTTGCTGCACTCCTAATTCAAACCATGTTCAGGGTCTGCTAGTGGGATAGATTCACTACCTCCCCCCAAAGCGTTTTCTTATGTGATCAGTTGCTCTGTTAACATAGGGCAGTGATGACGAACCTTCTTCTTACGGCGTGCCAAAATTGCACACACACACATTATTGCAAACACATAAATGCCCATTCAATCTCCCCCTACCTGTGCATGCACGCAAGACCCCCAGGCTCTGGCGGCTTTCCTGAAGCCTAGAGAGGGCGAAAATGGCCTCCCTCGCCCCCCCACAGGCCCTCCGGAAGCCGGAAATGGATCATTTCCGAATTTCTGGTTGGCCCATGGAGCCGTTTTTCACCCTCTCCAGTCTTCAAGAAAGCCTCCAGAGCTTGGGGAGTGTGAAAAATGGCCCCAACGGGCCAACCAGATATTTGGAAACAATCCATTTCTGACTTCTGGGGGAGGGGGCAGGGGAGGCCGTTTTTCGCACTCCCCAGCCTCCAGAGACTTTCCTGAAGCCTGGGGAGGGCAAAAACAGCCTCCCCTAGCCATCTGGAAGGGCAAAAAAATCAGCTGGCTGGGGCACCAGCACTGATGGCTGGCATGCCACCAAATATGGCTCCGCGTGCCATCTGTGGCACATGTGCCATAGGTTCACCATCCCGGGCACAGGGTTTTCTATTCTTAAAAACTTATAAATCAAAGGAAATGGCTTCTGTCTTAGGATTGTTAGTTGCTGATCTGCATCATGTTATTGGTTCGACCTCAGCTGAGATTCAGCGGTAGCCAAGAGAATATTAGCATGCCATATTTTATAAGCAGTACACATCAAATTCTTCACAATCTGCATTTTCACCGGAATAATGAAAATTATTAAAACAGTTCTCTAGTAAAAGTTACAGAAACAAATGTCTCCCCAGTTTTATTTCTAGAATTTTTCTGAAACTCAAATTGAAGTGATCTATAACTAGACAGCAAAAATATAAGTGGTATAAATGTAGCGACTGATTGCCGAGTGATTCCAAAATTATTATTATAGGGACCATTTAAGAAAGCACCATTGTACCAGTTCCTATTACTTTCTTGCTCATGAAGAATTTGACGGTCAGAATCTATTAAGACAATACTATAAAATGAAGTAGATGTTCTATGGGTTCAAACAACCTCTAGATCAGTGTTTTTCAACCACTGTGCCGCGGCACACTAGTGTGCC